GGAAGTGGTTGAGTCACCATCCCTGGAAGTATTTAAAAGACGTGTAGATGAGGCGCTTAGGGACATGGTTTAGTGGGCATGGTGGTGTTGGGTTGATGGTTGGACTCGATGATCTTGGAGGTCTTTTCCAACCTTAATGATTCTATGATTCTAAATCGACCCTCCTTCAGTTTAAAACCATTACCCCTTGTCCTGTCACTACAGGCCCTGGTAAAAAGTCTGTCCCCATCTTTCTTATAAGCCCCCTTTTAGGCAGCAATAAGGTCTCCCTGGAGCCTTCTGTTCTCCAGGCTAAACAATCCCAACTCTCTCAGCCTTTCTGCATAGGAGAGGTGTTCCAGCCCTTGGATCATTTTCATGGCCTCCTCTGGACTTGCTCTAACAGGTCCATGTCTGTCTTGTACTGCCGACCCCAGAGCTGGACACAGTAGGACTCCAGAGCTGGGCGCAGTACTCCAGGTGGCATCTCATGAGAGCAGAGTAGAAGAGGGGGAAAATCACCTCCCTCAACCTGCTGACCACACTTTTTATGCGGCCCAGGATACAATCAGCCTTCTGGACTGCAAGTGCACATTGCTGGCTAATGTCCAATTTTTCATTCACCAGTACCCCGAAGTCATCCCCAGTCTGTATTGGGGATTGCCCCAACCCAGGTGCCAGACCTTGCACTCGATCTTGTTGAAGCTCATGAAGTTCGCAGGGGTCCACTCCTCAAGCCTGCCAAGGTCCCTCTGGATGGCATCCTCTCCCTCTAGGTGATCAACTGCACCATGCAGCTTGGTGTCATCTGCAAACTAGATGAGGGTGCACTCAATCCCACTATGTCAGTGATGAAGATATTAAATAGTATTGGTCCCAGTGTGGACCCCTGGGGGACAGCACTTGTTACTGGTTTCCACTTGCATGTTGAGCCATTGACTGCAACTCTTTGGATGCAGCCATCCAGCCAATTCCTTATCCATCAACAGTAACATGCATTACTTACATACTAATCCCTTACTGTAGTTTTGATAGGTTGAATCCTGTACCAGCTTCTTCATTCTTCAGCCAAGCACAGCCAGAGGCTCATGGGCTGGAGGTACCCGATTGCCCTTCTGCCTATCTAACACCAGCACAGGGGTGCACACAGGAGGACCCAAACCCCAGCTGTGCTGCTCCTCCAGCTGCAGGGCCCCCAGGACACATCTCCTGGGCAGCTCAGGCACCCACTTCAGCAGCGCACAAATCCTGCACAGCTGGCTCCCCGTGGGGAAGACAGAGACAGTGTGAGGCAGAGGAATCCCCTCCTGCACATCTAAACCCAGGCACTCTGTTATCTAACAGGGTCACACTAACATTGATCCACAGACATTAAAAGGCCTGTCAAAGCAACTCTTTGGGACTGCAAGATTTTTGCCAAGCCCTGCAGGTGGAAAGCCCCAGAGTGCTGAAAAACAGTAAGTACTGAAGCAGAGCTTTGGCAGCGTGGGCAGCAGAGCTGGGCAAGTGTGAACCCGTGGCAGGACGCTGTGCCTGTGCAGTTTGCAGGTGGCAAAGAACAAGTAAGTAGAGAATAAAGGAGCAAATACAGCACTCGGAGTGATTTGAAATGGCTGCTAAGCTGGGCTTCAGAAAGCAGTATATTTCTTAATACAGCCAAGCATAAAGTCCTACCTAGTAAAAGAATACAGAAGATACGGTGTCTGAAGTAACAACTTAACATAATGAGCAATTAGTTGAACATGAGCGTCCTCTGCAATGCCACTGGTAACTCAGCATAAGAGAGAGCCCCAGATGAATCACTGCAGAGTGTCAGGCGGGACTAGGGAGATTTGGTGACCTCTGTGCTGGCTGCAGATGCTGCCAAAGCAGTGGCCATGGTGTGGGAAGGACGCTGATTAACCAGAGTGAGTCTGTCAAGGAGCCACACACACAGACACAGGTGGGAAGTCTGTGAGTGAGAGAGTCTTGGAGCCCAGTCTGCTCATCTCCCCAGGGGAAAGCCTCAGCCTGCCAGCGCTCCAGAGGAGAGAAAAACCACACCCAGCAGTCAGGGACATGGCGGGGTCCAGGGGTGACTCACGGGGACATGCATTTGGGCGAGATGGGAGAGGAAAGGTCTCTAACTCTCCAGATGCTCCACTGCAGTCAGAGCTGAAGGGAAGCAGGTCTGAGAGATCAGGGCCTGCCTGCTTCAGGAGATCAGACTGCACCATCATAAGGCCCTTTCTGGCCTCAAAAAGCACAAATTCCTTCCAGAATCTCCCCAGCCATCCAAGACTCACTGGAAATTATCAGGATGGGGCAGACACCTCCCTAGACAGCTCTTTTGGCACTCCTGTATGAAACCCAGCTGATATATTTATTTTTTTATCCTCCTTAGTAGATGATGTTTTACGTTTTCCCATAATGAACAGACTGGGAAGCACTTCATGTACCACATCATACAAGTGCCTCATCTTGTTTCTTTCCAGAGAAGAAAAACATCAATGAACATACCACTCACATGTGCAAACATGTGAACATACAACCCAGTCCAGTACCAGACAAGGCCATCATTAGACCTTCTCATTCCTAATATACTTTAAAACATCACATCTTGTTTTCCTTCCTGCACGTTTTCCCCAAATTTTCTAAGCTACATTTTTCTGTATCCGCACCTCTGGTCACTGCACTATGGTCCTTATTTGCACTTGTGACTGCCCACACTGTCACTAGTGCACTCTCACAGCATGACCGGCACATTTCCCATACAGTGCACGGCTACCAGGGCCATCACCAGCACAGTCACCAGCACACGGCCCTGCCGTCTCTGGCCACTGCCTGGCCATCACCGATGCACTGCCCACACTGTCACCAGTGCACTGTCTGGCCATCACCAGTGCACTGCCCACACTGTCACCAGCACACTGCCCCTGCTGTGACCAGCGCACTCTCCACACCATCCCCAGTGTGCTGCCCATGCCATCACCAGGGCAGTACCCACATTGACCAGTGTGCCACCTAGGCTGTGACCATCGTGCTGCCCATGCTGCACGGGAGGCCGTACTGGGCCCCAGTCCATCGGTGGCAGGTCCTGTCAGTGCAGCTCATCCCACTGACAGCCAGTGCATGGGCGCCAGCTGCTAGGAGAGGGCTTTTTCTCTCTTGCATACATCAACTCCCATCCCAAGGTGATTCTCACAACCAGCCAGTGACAGATCCTGCCCACATCCTTCCGTCACAGGGACACATGGTGGCACACAGACACACATGGGGAATCACAGGGACACAAGGGCCACCTCCACACCAGGCAGGGATGGCAGCCTCAGGATAAAGTGGCCACCTGTGCCCACGGTGGAGTGTTGCGGGTTTGCTGTGCCATCTGTTTCCACAATGATAAACCCAGATCCAGCGAGGCCGGGCTGGCTGGAAGCACCCGCCTGGTGCCCCCGCTGAGAGCGCAGGGCAGCAGGGATGGTGGCACCAGGCAGGGCGAGCTGGCCACTTGCTGCTGGTGGCAGCGGGCATGCAGCATGCTGTCCTGCAGCCAGCGCACCGACAGGGGCTGGGGCGGCATGGCACTGCCCAGGCCCACATGGTTCAGAGATGAGGCAATGGCCGCTTGTCCTGCCAGGTCAGCCTCCGAGGTGGGCTTCCAGCCCACTGAACACCCACACGTTCTCTCTCACATGGATCTTACTTCCCATTTCCAGCCCCAGCCCCTCCACCTGGGCCCCGACACCCCTCCTGTGCATGGGCTGCCCTAGCCGACCCACGCCACGCTGCAGTCAGGGCAGAGCAGCTTTTCTGGTGCCTCCAGAGGCGGCATTTTCAGGCTTGCATAGCCCCCACGCTCCTCTCCAAACCCTTCCCAGCTGCTATCGCTCCTCCCATGGCATGGGCAGCAGGATCCGACCCTGTCCCACTGACAGCTCCCCCTGGGTCTGCACCATCACTGGAGCGCCCGTGCCAGCTGTGCAGTGCCAGCACGCAGGGGCTAGTGCCCACCCAGCCCCTTCCAGGCCCCATCCCCAGACCCCATTCCCTTGGGGCACCCAGCCCTGTCCCAGGCCCAAGCCCCCCAGCCAAACACATCTGGCTGCAGCTGGGCTGTGGCAGAGTCCCAGCACCATCTGCCGGCACAGGGCAGCATAGCCCGCATCTGTCCGGGCATCCTCAGGCTGCCTGTCCATCCCACAGCCACCACACCCGGGCCCAGGGCAGGGGAGTCTTTCCCCGGGCCAGATCCAGGGGTGCAAGAGTGTTGGGACAGAGGGGGCACTGCAGGAGCAGCCCTGGGAGAAGCATGAGCCCCCTTCACTGCCATTGCCCCAGTATCCCAAAGGCAGGCCAGCCCCAGGAGCCTCCCTCCAGCACATTTTCCCTTGCCTCCACAGCACTCTGGCTTCCACCTTGTCACTCTGCCACAGGCTAGTACCTTTCAGAGAGGAAAATTCAGGGTACTTGCCATTGAAAGAGAAGTTTCCTCTGTTCCATAGACCATGGTCTCCCATAGAAACCTGTAAAAGGGGAAAAAAAAAAAAGCCAAAATGCAGTTGTCAGTAACTGCCTTAAAACAGAGTCTCTCTCTGTACTATCCCTAAGTGGCTGCTCTTAAACCCAAAGATCCACCAGTTGTTCACCTCTGGGTACTTCAAATGTCCATTATATGTCTGTGCTTTCATCCTTCCCAGAAAGAGGCAGCTGGGAAGAATTGCACAAGGTAGCACTTAACCTGGGAGGGGGAATTTGCACAGTAAAAGCCAAGCCTAGAGGAGACGTTTTCTGCCTGGGGATTTTCTTCTTTACAGAGACCAGCTCTGTCTCTCTCTGCACCTCTCCGTCTGTGTAGTGTCAGGCTGTGTCAAGCAGGGCATCACCACTCCTCTATGGGCTATAAAAGCTGCTCTCTCTGTCTTTAATCACTGCACAAATCAAACTGCACCAAAATTGCACTGACACAGCTTTCCCCTACACCCTACAAACACATACATGCATTGCAGCAGGGCAGGACTTTGAGGCAGCATCCCTGTCCCATGGCAAGCTGTTCAGATCAGGAACACACAAACAGCCTGCAGGGATGCCCACGAGTGCTGGGACTGTGACTCCACAAGACATTTCACAGACACCTTGTCCGTCCCCCACTGGAAAACACCATCCCCATAAGCTTGCAAAGGAAAAATCCAGAGAGGGAAAGCACACCAGGGAGCAACCTTACCAGTTGTCTGCTAACAAAGACACTCATGAATGAGCACCAAGGCTGGCCACAAGGACATTGCCCTTCCAGAAGGTTCACATCAACAAAATAGAATGCAGGAAATACAGATCTGGAGTCAGCAAATTCCCAAGTGTTTCTTAACATTTCCACTTCTGCTGCTTGCAGGCTTTAGGTGGTTGTTGGGCATCAGTGTCTGACACAAGCTTGAAGCTGCAGCATCACAGCAGCTGACAGTCTGCCCTGTGCTCTGCATGGCAGGGAACCAGTCTGTGACTGGCAGGAGCCCACCTTGCAGCCCTCAACACCAACCTTGGGCAATGGTGTGGTAGGTTGCACCACAGCACACACTGAACATTATCTTCTTTGCAGATAGAACTTCCACCTGCTTGACCATCTACACGATTATTCCATCTACTTTGAAACAATACATATTCACCTTATTAGCCATCCCCCACCATGCACAGGGTCAAATTTGTTTGCTGGGATCCTTGAGTGGCCACATTTCACCCAAAGAAGGTATTTCCATGATAAATAGATTTTCCATTTCCCAATCCATAGGAACTCCTGTTCAGCTCACAGTGAGGTCCCAGTAGTCCCTGTACAGCACCTGCCTGCAAGTGCCTCACTCACACTTTGCTGTGAACTGACACTGCCTTGCAGGTATGACTCTCACCCCCTACACATGCCCTGCCAGCAGCAGCTCTGTTGAAAATGCCATCCTAGTGTATCCTGCCCAGTAAAGTGGCTTAAATTTTACCAGCAAAATCTGTTTGTACCTGTGGCTGCATCTCCAAAGGAGTGATGTTGGTACTCTGCTTTTTTGAAGACAGATGAGCACTGATGAGTGACACTGTGCATTTGTACCTTGGCTCTCCCATGGCCCAGATCACTACATCAGTAACCCACCAACACCATTGTACTTGCCAAACTCTGGGCCATCTGGGATGTCCCTCAGCAATTTCTTCACAACCGTCAGCAAAGTCCTGATGAACACATTAGGAAGCAAAGTCCCTAGGCCCCAACTGTTCCACAGCCCCTCTCCTGTCCTGGGTGCAGGTCACTCAGAGGCACCAGTCTGTCCGTGCTCTCTGGCTGCTGCTAGCAATGTCTGGGGTGTCAGGAGGGAGCAGGGAGCTCTGCCTAGGACATGCCACTCCTGGCCTGCCTTGGCCCTGCTACAGCTGCACCCTGCTCAGCAGCCTGCCCGCAGCAGCACCACCCTATGTTCCCTGCCAGGGCCTGTGCTACCAGGGTGAGGGATGCCTTTCCTTCCTCACTCTCTAGGGACCTCCTCCTCCTAGAGTGGCTCTGCTGGCAGCATCTATGTCCTTCTCTTTCACAGGTCAGCTTTCCTATATCAATGATTCTTGTCTGACTCATATTTCTTTTTACTATCAACTTCCCCATCCCTGCACTTTCTATTTATTTTGTGTTTATTTGCATGCTGCTTTTGCTTCCTCCCAGGCAAGGCAGTGGGCAGTGGGCTTCAGCAGGGTACTGTGCTGCCCGGAAAAGTGGAGATGCTTTTGCCTAGTGGGTGCCAGGCCTGGCCCAGCTCCAGAGGTGCTGTGCTGCAGAAACAGGAGTTGGGGGCAGGGGGGGTCAAAAGGACAGGGCTGAGCTGTACAGAGCTGCCATGAGAGACCAGGCTCTTCCTGGCCAGCTCTGGGCACGGCCCAAGGCAGCACTGCACTGCAGGCAGGGAAGCAAGAGGGGCACACACCGAAATGCTGCCCCCACGCCCAGGGCAGAGAAAAAAACACTGCAGAATGCTGGAGGCAGAGCAGTCCCCATGTCCCACTGCGGGGGTGGGGGGGGCGGGTCTGCTGTGCTGGGATGGCTGCGGGGTGCAGCAGTGCTCTGGGGAAGAGCTGGGGAGCGTCAGTGGGGGGTGCTGGTCCCGTACCCCTGGGCAGAGATAGGGTGCTGTGCAGGGACCCGGCTCCCTGCTTCCCCAATACCCGGAATCCCGGGCGCGGCCCGGGGCCCGGCGGCCCCTCAC